GCCTCCTTGCGGCCAGCGGGCCTCGCCCTTCGGGGGGGGGGGTCCGGCCGCTGGCCTGCGGTGGGGGTGCAGCGCCGGTCCCCAAGTGTCCCGCTGTCCGCAGCTAATCCTTTGCCCAGTCTAGGTGCTAGTAAGAGTCAGGAAACCCTTCTCCTTATTCCTTGGCGGCCGGCCTCACGCCCTGGGAAAACTTCTTCCATTTGTCATATCAGTTTTCCCCAGTCACTAGGTATTTTCTGCCCGCCTGTTAATTCTAGGATATCCCATTTTGTCTTGGTCGGGCTCCGTTAAGTGTTGTGTCTATACACTTTATTTCCCCTTTGTGTCCTGACTGTCATACCTAGTTCTAATTACATTTCTTCTGCCATTAGGTTTCTGCAGAACGTGTTTGCCATGTCACTAGGCTATGCTTACTACTACGGGGGTACATTTTAAGTCAATTTAGTCCTCAGACATGGACATGTTACATTTGTTAATTCCTTAACTTAATTAAGGATTTATTAATTAATTAAGGAATTAATTCCTTAACTTCCTTAAGTTACATTTGTTAATTCCTTATACTTATATTATTTACATGTTCTGCAGAATTTAATTTACTAATAAAATTTTAAGCCCCAATCGGCCTGTGTCTTTTTCCCCCTGGTCAGAAAATACTGAATTTTGTAACTTGCTTAGGTAAATGAATTGTCGGGTTCAGTCCCTGAGCCCATTATGTGCCTCTGTAACCCTTTCCACTACCGCCCACAAGATGGGTATGGGGTGCATAATAAATGAACTAAACTAACTGATGTGAGTTTTGTGATGTCCCTGTTGTTGCCGAGTACTTGCCTCAACCAAATGCCACGCAGCTGGGTTTAGCCATGGCACTTTATTTCTCCTCCAAAGCTATAGCTGAACCCCTTTTATTCTTCTTTTGTCCCCACTTCCAAGCTCGCCCTTCGGTGTGCCTTATCCTGTATATATTCGTTTTCGTGGAGCCTCAGACACTTCAGGTGCTCAAACCTTACACGTCTTCCCTCTGCTGATGAGGTCTTAACTACGACACCTACGAAGACAGTCAGTCCTTGTATAAAGTGTACAGTCACTTAAATTTAACGTAAATTCTTTTGCTTTTGTCAGGTGTTAAGCCAAGTATTTCTGGGTTTTTGTCATTTTTTTATGTACAGATTTTCATTATTTTAAGTAAAGAATTTGTGTTTATTACCTCTTTTTTCCTAGCAACTATATATGCCGTAAAGGACTTAACAAGCAGCTGTATTTAAATTTATTTTAATTTTTTTTTTTTTGCTTTATGCGCATTAGGTATTTACCAGCTGCCAGGGTAGTACTGCTCTACCCACAACATGTTTACTGTTTAATTAACTGATATTTTAGTCACCCTCTAACCATTGATTATAGAGGTAATTTATTTCATGGAATATATTTTCCTCGGTAAAATCCCACAGTGGGGGCAAAATACCAAGTCACAGTGACGTAAGTAACTCGGTAACATAAGAATACATGTGTGATGTTGGAATCATTAAAGCTAAGACATTCATTATGTCCCTGATGGATCAGCTATAAAGGGTGGATTAACAAATGCATAAGTGTATGTTTGACTATATAATTATATCAACTTAAAGACATTTATAAAATATTAAACAAAGTACATTAATCTACTCCTGACTCACCACCTACTGGCAAAACAGTTACACTGACACACCAAGACTTACACCCGCCAGTGTGCAAGCGAAAGTTTTAGCTTTGGCTGCTCGTTACACCTTACAAAAGGATTACAAAATAATAGAAGCAGCAGTGTTGTTTTTGTATATAAAGTGTATGGAGAGACAAAAATGTTAAGTGTGGATTTGAAAGCAGTACTTATCAATATCCCATTTAAGTGTATACATGGAATTATATCCTTGGGCAAGCTGATCCATGTACTTACAGTACTACTGTATTTGATTAAATTAAAAGCCTTTCGCTTTGTGTAAAAGTATTTACTCTTTAGTTATACAGTAGTTTCAAGTAATGTTTGATAATGCACAATTTAAATATTTCTCTGGATTAAAATTGTCATGTGATTTAATTATCTTAAATACTTTATATGCATTAAATTGCCTCTTATTCTTCATTCAAGACAGTACATATTTAGCATTCAAAATGGGGTTCATGTGGGTTTTTTTCCATGCTTTGGTATAATTTTTTTGTTAAGTATAATGACCAAGAGTATATGCAACGTTCTCATGAAAGACAAATTTGCGAGTTGTACAAGTGAGAATTATTGTTGCTAAGCCTTAGTATAAAGCTTGATTCGCTTTAGGTCACTAGCCTTGATTCTCTTGTAATTTTGTCAAATATGCATTACGTTACATTTATCAGTATTAAAACTAATCTGTCATTTTGTCAGATGTCTACCCAACTTGGATGTACAGTATTTAAATTTAATATTACATGATGTGTGCATCCTGATAACCAATTTTCCAGCCAACCTGAACAACAACATTATGCACGGTCTTGTCTAAGTGCTTTCTGCTCCTCTGTCCATGTAATGTCAATGAATGGGGAAAATTTGTCATTATGCATTACATGAAGAGGCACAGTATGTGGCATTTATCTAACCTATCTTAAATATATAAATAGCCCTAACTATAGTGAGTCAAGTTATTAACTTCAACAGACAGTTCGCTACCAAATATTATATTACCCACGTGTATTAGAATCAGGGCAATGGATTACCACCACACTTATGTGTGAAGGAGCGCGAGGGAAAGACAGGAGGTGGTTACACAAGACAAAATTGTTGTGTTGCTAGATCGGTCATTGGATGTGTCAAGTTTAGAACAATGGGCATCATTTTTTCCCTTTATGCCTTTCTTCCATACTTCTTGTGACCTCTTCACTTTCAATCTACAAGTCTTCAAACTCACTATATCTGCCCAGTTTATAAGCCTTTCTCTCCTATTGTGACATTTACTCAAGTACACTCACAATTCATTATCTAATCTTTCAATATGAACATATCAACACTGATCCCAAGTTTGGTGGTGTACTAACTATTGCACATGTTTCTACAATATAATTTCTTATTCTATATATCAACAATATACACAATACAAATAATTATACTATATTTGTTCTGTTAGTATATTGCAGTTACCTCTAAAGCTAAAGATTCTATAAAAAGTAGTCTATGCCTTTCATCAATATCACATTAAAAAAAAAAGTTTATAATTTGCAGATTTCTTTAACAATTCATATATGTTAGCTTACTTTTCTCACAGCATTAAGGGTTACCCCAATAAAATTAAAACTAAATTTACTGATTATTTTAAGATATGCCCAAAATGCTGGGGTTATTAGTTATTACAGTAGATGTATATTATATAATATACAATTACTGTACCTCCTAAGTAACCACTGCAACATATGTGGTTGCAATGTAATGAACGATACCCATTGTTCCTCTATATATTTTATATAGAGGAACATATTACTGTATTATTATTATTATAACTATACATAGCATGCATCAAAGCAGCACAAAATTATTCTACAAAACAATATTTTTATTATATTGATAAGATATATTGCACACTATGTAATATTTAAACCTTTACATATACATTTAAATTATAAAAATTCTATATTTTAAAATGTTATTTAAAAACAGATAACTTAAAAACTATTAGTAAGTAAGCACCATAATTTAAATGCTGAATTCAAGCTAATATAATTGCTTCAGTCAGGCTAATATAAATGCCAGTCAGGCTACTATAAATGCCAGTCAGGCTACTATAAATGCCAGTCAGGCTAATATAAAGTCCAGTCAGGCTAATATAAAGTCATGAGGCAAGATGATACAAAAGCTACTCTAATTCTTAAGCTACAATCAAAAGTTTTAATTAGTAAATTTATAAAAATATATGTGAGAGTAAATAGAAATCACTGGGAGAAATACTGATGATATTCCTGATTCCTGGCTGAAATTCATTACATATTATTCCAATCAATAAAATAAACTTATTTTGTGCACATCTCCAACCGATTTTCTACTTACTATATACTGTATATATTGTTTTTTTGAGATATATACAAGAGTTGTTACATTCTTGTACAGCCACTAGTACGCGTAGCGTTTCGGGCAGGTCCCTGAAATACGATCCTCTTCCGCGAAAAATCGTTTTTTCATCCAAGTACACATTTTACTGTTGCGTTAAACAGAGGCTACAGTTAAGGAATTGCGCCCAGTAAATCCTCCCCGGCCAGGATACGAACCCATGATATAGCGCTCGCGGAACGCCAGGCGAGTGTCTTACCACTACACCACGGAGACTGTTTTCAATGTATGTTTACATTTTTTTATAAACCTAGTTGCCCAAAAAATTACATTGTAAATTAAACAATTTCTGAACTATGTTTTATCTTAGGCTATGGGAAGAAAAACAAAAGCATCTGACCTTATAACACAAGACTAATTTATAACTTAAAATATATATGTTATGGAGCTTTGCTTTCCAACTATAATTACTTGTTGAAAAGTCATTTACTTCTGCGATACAAAAATCAGAATATGTTCACAGGACAAAGTGACAACAAAGCCTTTCCCTGCAGAAGCTCACGTTTCCAAACTTTACATTGGGAGAGTGAAATGATAACTTTTGATATCGGTGAAATTTCTGATAATTTTCTTGTCTAATATTTCCAATGCTAATTAGTAAAATGTAATAAATTTGATACCTTCTCAAACTAATTTGGTTACTAGGTCTTTTACCTCAGCAAAGATAATAAGATTTATCTATATACTGTAGTTTATTATGTGCTGTATTATACTGCTATGATGACTAAATCTTTGATTTTCCTACAACTAGAGCATTAGTGAGGTTTATCACCTGCAGGTTTGATCAGAGCATTAGTGACATTTATCAGTTTCTTTTCTGTAGATCTTATAAGAACATTAGTGGGGTTTATAACTGCAGGTCTATGTACTAAATTAACGTGTCAAAACATCTTGAAGCCCCTTAATATTTTCGTACACTCGAAAGTTTTAGGCTAGCATCCACATGCACCTTTCTGTGATGAGACTTCATATGTTTTAGGCCACCGAATGTTATCCCACACTCAGGACATTCGCAAGGTTCATCCTCTAATGGCCTATGTACTAACATGTGTCTTATTATACTGCTACGCTTACTAAATTTTCTTGCACACTCGGCACACTCAAATGGCTTAGCACCCGTATGTACCTTCATGTGATTCTTCATATCTCCAATCTGAATAAATCTTTTACCACACTCTGGACACTCATGAGGCTTATCCCCCGTATGCACCATAATGTGCCTTTTCATATCTCCAAGGCGACTGAACCTTTTCTCACACAAGGGACATTCATGAGGTTTATCACCTGTATGTACCATCCTATGAGTTTTCATATGTTCAAGCCGACTGTATCTTTTCCCACACTCGGGACACTCATAAGATTTATCACCTGTGTGTACCAGTCTGTGAGTCTCCATATGTCCACGACGACTGAATTTTCTCCCACATTCTGGACATTCGTGCGGTTTATCACCTGTATGCATCATTCTATGAGTCTTCATATCTCCCAGCTGGTAAAATCTTTTACCACACTCTGGACATTCATGAGGTTTATCCTCCGTATGCACCATTCTATGTCTCTTCATTGTTCCATGATAACTGAATCTTTTCCCACATTCTGGGCACTCATAGGGTTTAAGATCAGTATGCACCATTCTGTGAGATTTCATATGTCCAAGGTGACTGAATATTTTCCCACACTCTGGACACTGGTGAGGCTTCGTCATTTTCTTGACAATTGGTGCAGATCAGGAGATTATATCTTCCCAGTAACTGTAGGAGTGTCTGGGCGTCCTTGTTATCTCACACTTGATGTGGTTACTGAATTACGTTGCAAAAACTACCAGTACGCCCGTTGAAAGGGGCCCTGGCAGCTCTTGTTCACGGCAAAGTCCCTCGTAGGATAGTAGTCCTACAATCTCGTCAGGTAATAAGCAATCTCGACGTTTAAACGCATTGCGCTCTTATACTTCTCCTCGACTAGCGTCTCTGCTTTAAAGTTTACATGAATTTGCTTGTCTCTTCTCGATGACAACACAGTCGTGGGTCTGCAGCCACAGAGGAAAGATTCCCAGTCGTTGGAAGGAACTCCAATCCCGGCTGTGGCTCCAGCGGCACCTGGGGCAATGCAGCAAGATATGGTGGACGTGTCTTCCACTAGGGGACATCAGTGACAATAAGGGGAATGTTATCTGTCTTCTTCTTCGTGCTATGTATAGTTTGCATATAGATTTTTCCTCCTTTAAGCTGCAATCAAAATCAGCGAACGCTTAGCGGTGATGACTGTTGTGTGATGGCGTCGGGCGGTGCCGTTTCCATTTTCTATTAAATCAAAACAAAATCTTAATTCTTAAATGGAGGTATATTTATAACTGAGTAGCTTAAGCAAAATTTCAGTAAAATATTTACAAAATAGAAAATTATAATAATAGTATAACACGAAATTATTGTACTTATATACTATAATTTATATTTAAGTTCAGACTTAGAAGCTTAATTTGTCAGTGATTTATAAAAATCATTACAATTGTGGTCGGAGTTATGTGTATATCCACAGAAAAAACGTATAGCTTTCAATTAAAGCGTTGAGACTTACATTATTAAAACATATATCGTAAATTCCGGTAAGTAATATTAGAAAGATCAGATAAAAATTTGAAGGCTAACTAATGTAAACTAACTATACCAAGCTAAATTGATACACTCTCAGCATTGTACATCATTTTTTTATTACCAAGCTTAGATATACGCAGATATGTGCTGCTACCCTATTCTATATGAAAGATTAGACAGAGTAGATAAAAAACTAGCTAATAGTTCATCTAATATTGCCATCTCACAGGATGGTTAGTCATACATGGAGTCAGGAGAGCAAATACCGGCCTCAATACAAAAACAAATCAACTTTGATCAGATCAGTAGTTTAAGTTTACTTCATTTATTATGCACCCCATACCCATCTTGTGGACAGTAGTGGAAAGGGTTACAGCCCTGGTAACTATTACTCCCTCGTCTATCCATATCTCAACTATGGTATTTGTGCTTGGGGCTCTACTACCCAAAATCACTTACGTCCTCTAATTACTCAACACAAAGCTGCTATTAGGACAATATCCAACTCTGGCCCCAGACATCACTCGGTACCCCTACTCAAATCTCTGAATATGTTAGACATTAAGTCACTGCACATTCTCTCATGTGTATTATACATATATAAACCGCTAAACTGTAATGCCAATCCTGACCTCAAAAGCTTCATAGAAGGTTGTAACAGAACCCATGAGCACCACACCAGAAATAAATACAGTTTTGATATTCCTAGAGTACGACTTAATAAAACTAGAAATGCTCTACAAATCAAGGGACCCAGATTGTGGAATGACCTTCCCAACCATGTTAAAGACTGTACCTCTCTCAACCAGTTTAAGATAAAAACGAAGCTATACCTAATAAATTCCCTATAACCTACCTTACCCCTCTATTGTCAACCAATGTCTGTTTTTTTTAAAGAGCGCTGTTTGTCGACAGAATTGTATTTGTGCTGCTTTTTCAGCTATGTTTTCATTCCATGTTTAGTATTAAGCATTTTACTCTTTGCGTATGCTCAATTAGTATTAAGCTTTAGTCTTTTAACTTTTTCATGCCCGTTTAACGGTTCTATTGTTACGTAAAGTATGATGACAAATAAACACAGACACTAAGATACTATATATATATTTGGTCGAATATACAGAAGTACACCGGTGATACTTTGGTGTGAGTTGAGCGCACTGAGCGTCGGTACAGTATCTCGCAAGTGTCTGCTCTAGACCACACTTGAAAGTAGACTCTGGTGAATGTTTGCTATTCTGCTGCTTATATGCTCGGGCAACACCTCGCCGTGTTGCCCGGGCAACGCCTCACCTCATTCATCTCCAAAGGTTGACAGGACTATTAACAATGCATTTGGAGCGAGTATATTATTGGGATAATCTACTCGCTACAGAACTCCCCCTCCCAGGGGATGAAAGGAAAAATACTTGATCAAGGAACTTAGCTGGTCGGTGAATTGTACGCCCTGCTCGCGTTACATAACCATCAAAGTTAACTTCCTCCTCTTCGCTGATGTCATCTAACTGGGGTCGTAGGGTGGGAGGTCGCACAGGATCGTCCGTCGTCGTAGGATCAGGTTGTGGTGCGGCTGGTAACTGGGGTTGTAGGGTGGGAGGTCGTACAGGATCGTCTGTTGTCGTAGGTGGCGGTGCTGCTGGTAACTGTGGTCGAAAAATGAACTGCGTAGTCGGCGGATGTGTCTCTGGATTTAGCAGTGTCGCAGACGTTGAGACGAAGCCTGGAGCAGAGCAGAGAGCTGAGTGAGGCCGGAGTCGTGGAGCTCTATGTGGGAGAGCGTGGCGGCTCGATTGAGAATTGTGAGTGTCTGAACTCGGGGAGCGAGAGCGTGGCGGCTCGATGCGGTCGTAGTCTGCTGTCTGCTCTGTGTCGAAGCTGTAGCGTCTTGGGTTGATTAGGACTGTACACGCCGAGTACTACATTGTTGACTGTGGAAATTGTAGTCTGGTACCAAAAGATGTAGGCAGTGTGTGGACAAGCTCGGTGTAGCAGGAGAGAAGAATGTGCATAATTGTTGCGTCCTTGGGTCGCTGGTGGAGCATTTAGATCCGGGGCGGATGGGCTCGGGCACCAGGACATTAGGAGGTAATGTAGGCACGTAGTTAGGACAACGAGGTAATCACATCTAGAGCTGAATTGTCCTGAAGGCGACGAAGTGTTCAGATTCAGATTCAGAGATGTTTATTCAGGTAAGGTATATACATACAAGTGATGTTACATTAATGGATTGATATATAGATAGAGCTAGTACATACAATGCCTAAAGCCACTATTACGCAATGCGTTTCGGGCAAGAAAAACATTAATATCTAGAACTTAATACTAATTGAGCATAAAGAATAAAAGATGTTGAGAACAAATACAAATAAAGATAAAAAAAAGGGGGAACATGACTGAAAAAGCAGCACAAATACAATAGGTTGACAAACAGTGTTGATTAAAAAAAAAGAAAAAAAAAAAAAAAAGAAAATAAAAAGAAAATAACAGACATGGGTTGACAATAGAGGAGTGAGGTAGATTACAGGGAATTTATTAGGTAGTGTTTAGTTTTTATCTTAAACTGGTTGAGAGAGGTACAGTCTTTAACATGGTTGGGAAGGTCATTCCACATTCTGGGCCCCTTGATTTGCAGAGCATTTCTAGTTTGATTAAGACGTACTCTAGGAATATCAAAACTGTATTTATTTCTGGTGTGGTGCTCATGGGTTCTGTTACAACCTTCTATGAAGCTTTTAAGATCAGGATTGGCATTATAGTTTAGCGTTTTATATATGTATAATACACATGAGAGAATGTGCAGTGACTTAATATCTAACATATTAAGAGATTTGAGTAGGGGTACCGAGTGATGTCTGGGGCCAGAGTTGGATATTGTTCTAATAGCGGCTTTGTGTTGGGTAATTAGAGGACGTAAGTGATTTTGGGTAGTAGAACCCCAAGCACAAATACCATAGTTGAGATAAGGATAGATAAGGGAGTAATAGAGAGTCACCAGGGCAGGGCGTGGTACATAATATCTGATCTTAGAAAGAATGCCCACAGTTTTTGAAACTTTTTTTGATATATTTAGAATGTGTCCCTGGAAATTCAGCTTGTGGTCAATGAGAATGCCAAGGAATTTGCCATCTAATTTGTTACAAATTTGGGTATTGTTTATTTTGAGATTTATAAGACTAGAGGATTTATTGCCAAACAGAATATAGAAGGTTTTGTCAATGTTAAGGGTGAGTTTGTTGGCAGTTAGCCAAAGATGGACTTTATTTAGCTCAGTATTTACTGTGGCATTTAGAGCAAGAGGGTCAGGACTGGAGTAAATGAAGGTTGTGTCGTCAGCAAATAGAATTGGTTTGAGGTGTTGGGAGGCATTTGGAAGGTCATTAATGTAGATGAGAAAGAGGAGAGGGCCAAGTATGCTGCCCTGAGGAACACCAATGTTGATGGGTAGGGTGGGAGAAATTGTATTATTCACAGAAACATATTGGAGCCTGTCAGTAAGGTAGGACTCGAGGTATTGTAGGGAGTGTCCTCTGACTCCATAATGATGTAATTTAAGAAGAAGGTTATGGTGGTTGACAGTATCAAAAGCTTTACGCAGGTCCACAAATAACCCAACAGGGAACTCCTTTTTATCAAGAGCTGTATGAATCGAGTTAAGCATACTAATAAGTGCATCGTTAGTGCTTTTTTTGGGTCTGAAGCCATATTGGCAAGGGCTAAGTATATTGAGTTTGGCTAGATATGAGTAAAGCTGCTTGTATATAAGTTTTTCAAAAATTTTTGACAAGTTTGGCAGGATTGATATAGGTCTGTAGTTGTTAACATCTGTGGGGTCACCACATTTGTGGACAGGCGTTACTCTCGCTTTTTTTAGAATATCTGGAAAGGTTTGGAGTTCAAGTGACTTGTTGAAGAGCAAAGCAATAGCAGGGGCTAAAGATCTGGAGGCTTTTTTGTAAATTAAAGTTGGTATCTCCTCAAGGGCACCAGACTTGGTTTTAAGGGAAAGGATTATCTCATTGACGTCAGTGGAGTTAATAGGCTTTAG